TATCCATTCTGTGCAATTGAACATTTTGGTTGGATTATCCGATCGGACACGATGCAATGTCCGTTCGGTTCAATCAAGCATTTTGGTTGGATTCTCCGATCGGACACTAAGAAGTATCTGATCGATCAAACATTTTGGAAGCTCCGTTCGGACACTATGGAATGTCTGTTCGGTGGAAGACACAAATGCAATGTACATAAAATATGACAGGTGCGACTGCATTCAAAAACGTAGGGGATTGGTACATTGCCAACGGCATAGGGCGTGGTAGTTAGTTTGTTTAGCTTTTTTGGATGCTGCTCTGCTCCCGTGAGCTGGGCCAGAGGTATGCTGGGTGTCGTGGTTTGTTCTGCATTCATATCTATGTTGGGGGGTGTTGTGTCGTCTTACAATAATCCGAGTATATCAGAACGCTGAGAAAAAGGAGAAATGATAGATACTGTTGCAGTTTTAACTGGGATAGTTCCATCGGGAATCAACGGCGCCTCCGGATTTTGAACCCTTTCGGATTCCTAATGAACAAATGGGATTCCTAATGAACAAATGAACGAGAAGGAACCTGAGAACGAAATTCGGCTATCTTGATTTTTGCTGCATCCTTTCGTTGTCTCTCAAGAAGTTGGGCGAGTGCATTAACGCCAAGGGGAATCATCACGATATGCTTGTCGACAGAGCTCTTAGTGGAATTGGCAACTCGGAGGGCCTCTAACTCCTGTAGACAAGCTTCAGGCAATCTGGAATTTCTGGACACCTGCTCTTCAATCCACTCCGGAATTTCTCGAAAGCAGAATTTGCGCGCCTACAGCCTCGGTTTGAACTGATGTAAAACAACAATACTGTGTTAGAGGGGCGCCACTTGGCCTTGAAATGCTGTTTAACGAGGCGGATGGGAGGCTTCTGGCCAAGGGGAGCTCTAAATACGACTTAACCTACGCTACGCTCCAACAGTTCCATATTCCGGCCACAGGCATGTTGTCGATCGTCTTCGAGGGCTTCCGAACGTCGTACAGAAGTTTGGGGATTGATAGTTGCCGAAAAAAAAACACAGAATGTCTCTTTAGGAGGCAGATCAACCATTGTTCGCGGTCTGCGAACATCTTTGTGAGGAGGGGATATGAATGCACGAAGGGAGCTGTTGTCATCTGTGTCCTCCGAGGCCCGAGTTTTGGGGTCAATTATTATTATTTGAGTTGAATGAGGGGGGAGAGAAGATACCTGAAATAGATACGGGTGAAGTCCAACAATCATGTGCCAGTAGTTCGAGGCGCCCGTTAGTCCGCTAAACGAGTTTACGCATCAGACGTGTCGGAAAGAAATCTTTTCACGAATACTATCATGGCTACTGGTTGTAATTTATATCATAAGAGTAGTATGGATATCGCGTCAGGTTTAATTTGTGAGTTTTTACGGAAAATGTGTGCCTGGAGCATCCCTTCTTGTGCGCGCTTGTAGAGCTATAAAGATTATCACGCTAGTTAATAGTCTTGTAATTGTAATTGTGAGACAAGGGGCAAAACATACATACCCCGCATGCCATTTCACAACCTCGCAACCTCACGCGCCGCGCGGAGAGGACGACACACATGACTGTAGGAACAGCGTGCGACGTCGCACGCGGGGGATTCGCCGATGTGCGTAGCCGCCAAGGCACCGTGTACGTGGTAGCCGTCGATGCAGCGTGAGACGCGAACTCGCGCACATGGTGCATCTACGGCTCATTCATGTGACAAGGCGCGTTGCGGCAAAGCGTAGCGCCTGTGCAAATGCTGTCACCGAGTGGCGTATGTCTCGTTCGCGCTCGAGTACGCTACCCAACTCGCGCGAGCGCAAGCGCGACTCAGTGCGTGCACGAGAGGAGGCTCGCCATGTGCAACTGCGTTACGCGCCAGCTCCTGCGCCGACGGCCTCGTTGTGGCTGCCCCCTTCCCTCACCGCCGCACGGGGTGCTGTCTGTGCAGAACCACTTTGGCATTGACGGGGGTGGTGGGGCGCGCAGAGTGCACGCACGTCGCCCGTGCGCGAAGCACCGCCGGTGATAGGGACGGAGACGGGCGGTGTATGCGGACGGGGCGGCGCGTGGACGCCGCCGCGCGTTGCGCTGTCGCGGTTCGCAGACCTCGAGCGATGGTCGAGCGGCGCGCGCGCGCGTACGCTGCAACAGCCTGCACTGGAGCAGCAGCCGACGCGAGACGGGCGGTGTATGCAGATGTGGGCGCGCGCGGGCGTACGCAGCAACGGCAAACACAGGCGCGGAAGACCCACCAGCCACAGCGCGCGGTGTTTGCGAATGCTGGGCCCAGCGTACTCGTGCAGCCTAGCCGGCAATCTGCGCGCCAGAAAAAGTGTCAGTACCTTTACATGGAGCTGGACGGCTCGATGAATGGTTAGCAGAGGGAGAGTAATAGATAGGAAAGGAAGCAACTTGAATGAGAAGTAACTTACTGAGTATATTCAGATTTTCTTAAGGCATTCACGCTTAGAAAGCGTGTAAGACACTTGCTCCAGGTCGTACGTAGTGTTTGGCGCCAGTCTTGGGCGGAAAGTCGAAGAAGGCAGCGGCGGCGGCGAGGACCAGCCGGAGGGCGCCGGCGTGAGGGGGCAGGTCTCCGCAGGGGGGCGGCACACAGTGCGCACGGCCAGGGGCACGGGACAGGCGACGGCGCTGGGTGACGGCGAGGACTGCGCGGGCGACGAGGAAGATCGAGGCGCGCGGGGGAGCCGCGCGCGCGCCGCGTCAGCAGACAGCGCAGGTAGGCACGCCGCCTTGCGTCGCCGTTCATGCACGCCCAAGTGGCGCCGTTTTCGCCAGGCACACAGCCCCCGGCGTCGTGGCTGACGCCGTCCATTTCGCCCTCGCCCTCGCCATACGCGCCGCGCCGCCGCCCCTCGACGCCATTCGCGCAGCAGGCAGCTCGTGGAGTCGCCCTCCGCATGTGCGTCGCCCGTTGCAGTCGTGGCCAGCGCCAGCACCAGCACCAGCACCACGGCCGCCCTCAATGGCAAATGTGCCGACGCGCATGCGGCGCAACAGCGACACCATCACGCTGCCCATTGCGCCCGGCGCCGGTGCTGGCGTGGGATACCAGCACCCCTCGCGCGCGTGCGGCGTATACACGTACCTGCCGCCGTACGCGCCCGGGCTCGGTCCCGGCCCCGCGCCGCAGTACAGCGGGGCCGCGCGCGTACAGGCGTGATGGGGCCGTGCGCGTGGCGGCGGCGCGTATGCGGACGCATTCATGTACACGGACACCACGGACGGGCTGGGCAGACGCAGGCGTCGCGTCGTTTGCGGTGCGTGTGCCCTTCGTCTGCGCGGACGCCCGGGACCTACAGAATAGAACCAAGGAGTGCCGAGCCTGAAATGGATGCTTGAGACATGTAGAAAGATTGTGATTACGCACCTTGTCAAATTGAAACACAATTCCCCGCTGTTTTCTGGCCCAAATGAATGCCAATGGTACCTGAAATTAAAGGAAAGACAGATGTTAACTCTTTGGGCAAAAAAGAAGCCAGTACGGCGTCGCTTACCGATGAGCGACACTTGATTTTTCTCGGCATCCACAGGGCCATTACACGCGTAAAAAGCATGTAGACAGACGGCGTAGTACCTTGCGATGCGACACACAAAAAATGAAGGGAGGAGGGCGCCAGGGAGGAGAGATACAGAGAGGAATAGTGGCAGCTGCCAGGTCACCGACCGAGGTCACAAGCCATCGGTGACCTGGCTCCCAATTTGGCACGGCGGTCACAACTCGATCGTGACCTGGCCGTCAGGAGTCCTGCGGGGGTCTCCACGTTCCAAACGCCTTTCACTGTCAGCCATCAGCCTGTCGATTTCCTCTCTCGTTGCACTCTATGGAATCCGACTCAGACAGCGATGCTCCTCGTCCTTCAAAAACCAAGGCCGCGAAAAGAAAATTGAATGTTATAGAATCTGACTCAGACAGCGATGCTCCTCGTCCTTCAAAAACCAAGGCCGCGAAAAGAAAATTGAATGTTATAGAATCTGACTCAGACAGCGATGCTCCTCGTCCCTCAACAACCAAGGCCGCGAAAAGAAAAGCCAAATCTGTAGTAGAAGGCCCCGCCCATAAGAAACCGAAGAAGAAGAAGAAGAGCGTCAAAACAACCGGACCTGCCGCAGAGACAACGGTCAACTCCGTCACTACCCTGGTCGCGTTGCTCGAACGCGCTAAACTCACGCACGCCCGCATTCTATTGGAGACAGAGCAGCAGCGCGCGAAGAACCTGGTTAAGCAACAGGACGTAGAGGCGGCGCGCCTGGCGATTATAGAAGCGGAGAAGGCAGCTGCGGCGGAAAAACGGAGTGAGTATATGCGCATTTCTGTATTGCGTCACTGACCACGCTATACAGAACATGTGATTGCCGTACAAGAGGCCAAGTCCCACCTCATCCTGCTGCAGACACAGCTGACAGCAGCTCAAAAAGAAAGTACGTGCGAGCAACTTCACTCTTAGGTCTTTAAGTAATTGCACCTTCAGACACCCCCCGCTCCCATCCATATACAGGCGGCTTCGCATCGTTCTCGTCATCTGCGGCTTCCGTGCAGCAACCGACAGCGGCCCCGACTCGCTTGACCTTTGGTGCCCCTTCTAATGTTTTCGGTTTGACTTCGTTTACTGCCACCACTTCCCATGCATCCTCCACAAACCAATCCTCGCAGAGGGCATTTGACCTCCCCAACTGAACTCTTTATACCACAGAGCACTTTCATATTTCGTGACCTCCCCCACCGATGTTTCTTGTTCACCGTTGTACCGCAACTTAGAAATCCAAAGCTCTATACTTGTAATATTTTTCGTACAGAATCAAACGCGCCGCTGAGCGTGAGGAGGTCGACCTTGCTCATGTATCTGGATCGTGTTTCATAGTTGAAGTTAAGGTCCTTCGAAACATGGTTTACCTTGTCAATTCAACTAAGGTAACAAAATGAAGCACAAGTCCGCGTAAGCCACGACGGAAATGAAGCAAAAAAGAATCCGACTTGTCTGAGTCGAACAGACGACACCCAGATTATGTAACCATTACAGTCTGATGCTCTAACCAACTGAGCTAAAGTCGGCTTGCTCAGGTGTACCTACAGATCTACTAAACTACTAACAATGTATCAACAGCGCAGCGCGAGGAAAGACCGCAACGCATCCATGTGTTTCGTCTGCGCAATAAGATGTGATTAGGTCTGACTAGACGTTACTATTGGATTACGTAAGGCGCCTTTGCGAAATCGACGGTCGGCGCCTCGCAGGGACGGCGGCGATGTTGTGAGGAGTGTGGCGTGGACACGACGAGCGGGCATCGAACCGCCCAATGGTTACTTGTGCATCATGGCGCGTACAGCGCCGCAAACGTGTTGCATCGTGGACAACAGGTGGCCGGGAGCGATCCTACGCGGCACGAGGAACGTGAGTTTGAATTAAAGAAGATCAGGGAGAGTCGTACCTTCATACCGCCGTCGTTGAGGCACTGGCAAGAAATCCCATAACGGGGTTGTGCTCCGTGAGCAAGAGCGCGAACAAGTGGATGGACCCGTCGGGCGGTGGGAGCCGTCGCGCAGCGTCGACAGCACCAACTCCTTTGTTGGCGCGAGCGCGGGGTCGCGCGTAGGCATAGGAGCAGCGCAGGACGTTGAATCAAAGTACGGCGGAGTCAGCGGGACGTATGCGTAAGCAGGCGGGCGAGACGTGCGGTGATGACCGATCCTGTGGTGTGCCCCAGGTCGAGCATCTTGTCGAGCACGGCGATTCCGGCGTCGCTCCAGCGCGTACGAGGTCGTGTCGACGTCGTCCGGATACTACGTGGCCGTGGGGCACCTGGTGAAATACGGGTTGTCACCCAGCTAAGGATGGATAGACGCACGGCGGTCCCTGCCGACACGATCTTGCGTGCGTTGCCGCGCAGGAGCGAGCAGCGTGCGGCGCGTCTTGAGGAACGCGCGCATGTGCGGCTGGCGGCGTGCAAGCGGCGTGTGTACTGACAACGCGGGCGCCCAAAGGTTGCTCGTGCGTCGGCGGCGCAGATGGCCAGTCGCAAAGCTGGGGGTCGCAAGTCGGGGGTCGCAGGAGACGCGCTCCCCGGCATTCCGGGGAGAATGGCAGCGGCGGTGACGGAGAACGGGTAAATAGAGTGAATGTGACCAAGGGCGGGATGTGACGACGGGCGGACGATGAGCGGGGTGTGACGACGTTGATGAAAGTGTGTCTGCTGCTAAGAGATGGTGGGGCGCAGCCAGCCCCACCTCGCTGCGCTCGGTGGGGGCTGGCTGCGCCCAACCGCTAGCGGACAAATAGTTGGTGTTTTTATATGAATTTTAGGCTGCAGTGTGTTCCGACCTAATGTCCTATACTCCCTTTTCGTTTCCACTGGCGGATAAATATTTGGTAATACGGGCATTGGCGTTTGTTGTAAGATCAATGCAACTTTCTTTCTACCAAACGTAACAACAGATTACGAAGCCAAACGAGATGCGAGACAAAAAAGTATGTACAAATACGCGTGCGAGGAGATGAGATTCAAGTAAAGAACTAGTTGACTAATGAGGAAGCGAGCATGAGTAGGATGAAACTAAAAGTGAAGAGATACGTCGGTGTTCTCCATGCCGGACCAAGAAATGTAGTTTACTGTATTAGTGAAAACGTGTCAGGGCGTTATGCATGATGCATGCAAATAAGTAGATGTGTGCGATGGAGGCGCGAATGCGAGCAGCGCCTCAAAAGAAAGGCGCCTGCTCAGCCATGTACTCGGCGGTCGGCGGTGGCGGGAACAGCGCCAGCACCGGAGGCAGCAGATGGTCGAGCTCCATCGCGGCGGCGGTGCCAGGGTGACCCCGCGCCTCTCGGGCGGGCGCATGCTCGAGCGACAGCCCCGCGACGCCGCCCGCGACGCCGAACACAGCACCTGCGCTGGCGCCAGCGAGTGCGCCGCTTATCGACACCTCCGACGACGTGGTGCTCGAGCTGCGACTGCGTCGATGCGATTCGGGACCAGGCACGGTGAGAAACCCTGCTCCGTGCGGGTGCGCGTTTGGATCGGGGGACCCGCCCGCGAGCCCGCCGTGACTGCGTCTGCTGCTGCCAACAACACCAATCGCACTGGACGCCGCGGTGGTGGTGGTGGCATCGAGGTTCAAATCGAACATCTGCACCGCGCCCCACTCCGGCACGGCGCCAGCTCCGTCAGCACCGCCCGCGCCTGCGCCCTTCGCGCCTGGATTGGCCTCGAACTCGAACACGGGGTCGCCCTCGCCAAACTCGAAAGGCGCTTGTCCCGGCCCCGACGGCGGCGGCAGCGCTTCCACCTCGCGGATCCATTCGTCGATCTGCTCGTATGTGCTTGTGTTCTCGCCATAAGCGAGGCCGGCGTCGTAGCCTTCCATGTCGAGCTCAACGTCAAAGTCCTTCCCGTATCTCTCGACATCCGCGTCAACATCATAACCCTCCAGCCGCAGCTCCCCGCGCGCGCGCGTCGGGAACCCCTCGAGCGTCATCTCCCCTTCCTGCTTGCTCGGCAAGTCCGCCTGTGCCCCACTGAAACCCACGACCGCGGAAAAGTCCTGCAGGCCCAGGATGGTACAGTCGAGGCATGCACCGCCGCACGCAGCGTCCGTGCAATGTTGCTGTCCATCGCTACTCGTGGTGGGGCTTGCGCTGTTGGCGTTGTTGCTGCTGCTACTGGGGCGAGTGGAGGTGCCAGCGTGCAGCGAACATCCGGGGCACGCACACCCATCACCACAACCGCACATGCGCATGCGCATGCCGAGGTCGACAGGGAAACCGTCCTCGGAGCGTGCACGCGGTGCCTCGGTGATTCGGGGATAGACGCCATCAGAGCGGGGGTAGGCTGCTTCTGGACGGAGTTCTTCTGAAAGGGGAAAGGACGGCTCGGAGCGAGGATATGTGGGGGCGTCCGTGTTCCCCGACGACCTCGACAAGCTTGGGGGCAGCCGCCATTCCACCTCCTGCAGACGTGTCGGGGCGGCGACGCCAAAGTACCCGCCGAAGGTCCCGGGCTGTCCATCGAACGACGCGCTGCGCTGGCTGTGGCCTTTCGAGCTTTGGCCCTCTTTGGGGCTTTTCGTGCCTTTCTGACCCAGGCTTGGGAAATGGGTGGCGGCGCCCTTGGTGCCATCCGGGTGGGTGCTTCGCCCGCTCAGTGAGGACACACTCCTGAGCGACGTGCCGCTGAGTAGCGACTCCACGCTGCGCCCATCCTGCTGGTAGAACCCGCCGGCGGAGGTGCCTTCGTGTCCCTGGAGCGCCAAGTCGTATGCGCGCCCATACGGAGAGAAGTGCTCCGTGTGAAGGTGCGGAGCGCCTGGCACGTGGTGTCCGTGCCCGTTGCCGTGAAAGAGGTCGTGTTGCCCGCCAGCCTGAGCCTGCAGCGCGGCATCGCGAGGCGAAAGCCGCGGAAGCACTGGCCGCAGCTCCGCAATACGAGCAAGGATGTGGTGCGATTGTACCCGGGCCTGCGATGACGACCCGGGACTGGGGGCCCGAGTCTGGGAGGAAGGGGCTGTGCCGAGGGGCGGGGACGTGCGAGGATTCAGGGGGGGAGGGTTACAGTGAGGAGGCAGGGTAGGACTAGGACTATTGCTAGGTAGGATGGTCGCACTCGACGTGCTGATATTGTTGCTTGTCGGAGGCGGTAAGGACCGGCGCTGCCCGGGGCGCTTGCGCGGCGTGCAGCAATGGCAATCGCCAATACCAGCCTTGCAGCTGCAGCCCGACGCAGATGGTGCCGATCCTGTGGGGCTTTCAGTGATCGTGCTCAAGCAAAGTCAGACTGGCACAGCAGGCATACCCCCTTGTTCAGAGTCCGACGGTGAGGGCGTGGTACATTCTGCCGGCACGCCGTGCGGAAAGGCGGCATGCGGCGGGAGGACGGGCGTACCTACGTGGCTGCTGGATCAACTGTGGGTCGTAAGAGATGAATAAAAGACACACTCTTCTTCTTTGGCTTAGCGCCGGTGGGGGTTGGGGTGGAGGAGGGCTGTTCTTTCAATTCACATATGCATTTGACGTGGACTTGTTTTGTTTTTCGTAACTCTCTACAGTGCTCGCACTGGGTCACCGGGCGACCCTTCTTCTTGATCTCGAAAAGTGGGCGGTCGGTGTGTTTACAAGCGGACGAGCGATGACCCTTAATGCATGTTTCACTGGAGCAGAGCACATGAAGACATGTACGATGTGCAGAGATAAGTGACACATACCAGGCATACTTCTTGCTGCTAATTAGAACCTGATCGCTGTCAGCACCGGCCGTCTCTGAGAAAAAGCAGGCGAAATACCATTGTTTTCTGTGGATGTGTGGGCGGTGTACGGACGCTGGGCGAGCACGCCCCGCCAGCGACGGTACCCTTGTCGTTATTGACCGAGGGCCATCTAGAAACAGCGTATGCGGGTGATCATGGTGGTCGAGGAAAAGGGTTGTGTTGACCACAGTTGACAGAACACACGGCCTTAAGCCTGCGCACGGACCTCGGCTGTCGGATCGGATATCCCCGCCAGATCGTCACACAGTCATCCAAATCTGCGGAGGACCTCCACTTCATGCAGTCTTACTTCCGCGAGCACAACGCCGGCGCCGACGCCGGCGGATCCCTGGATTGCGGGCAATGTCGGCGCAGCCCACCGCGAGCGCATCACCTGAAAACTGCGCGTAATGGCCTGACAATGCGCGATTTTGGCCAGAGGACGCTGGAGCCGCTGTTCAGTACTGTATATGCCTCTTGTGATTGTCGAGCGCATTCCCATGCAGCACGCTTCTGCCTTGTGCATACAGGCGCCCTGACACAGCCTTGGGCGCGCGGCGCCACCGGAGTCTTCTCCCGCTTCCATCGCGGACGTCACTTACTGCCGCGCTGGTCTGGGCACGCCACAGTCTCGCTGGCACCCTCCCACACGCGTCTTCCCTTCTGCTCGAGAACGCCTTGCTACCTCCAACCATCCTCGGAAGTCTACTGACCGGACCTTGGCTTGGAGCCTAGTTTCAGGTCCTTGGTCTACCCTTTAATAATGTGCAACAGCTACTTATAGTCACTCTAATATTGTCTCGGTTCGAACCCAG